TCAGTTAAGGTGTATTTTGTTTAATACCAGTATAGCTATTCCTACTCTCTTTTGGTTTATATCTTCCAGATATAACAGTCTATTTTAAGCTAACAGCAATTTAACTTTGGTAATATACAAAAATTTCACTTTTTTACTCCCCATTTATTTTTTTTATTTTATAATTTACCTTTTTTATATTGTATGTTCACTGACAAATTATTGTAGCTATTGCTATATTTAATACTTGTGTCCTGTAAATTTTGTGCTAGAATTAGGCGGTTAGCACAGTACCATATGCAATGTTATAATATTCTGAAATTGACTATATATTTACCTTTACCAGTGTATTGTTATTTTCATATGTTTTCGTGTTACTAATTAGTGCCTTTTCATTGCAGCTTTAAGCACTCCTTTCAGGATTTCTTGTAAGTCAGGTCTAGTGGTGACAAGCTCCCTCAGCTTTTGTTTGTCTGAGAATGTCTCTGTCTCTCCTTGATTTCTAAAGGACAACTTTGATCCATAGAGTAGTCTTGTTTGGCAGTTATCTGTTTCTTTCAGCATTTTGAGTATATCATCCCAGTGTCTCCTGACCTGTAAGGTTTCTGTCGAGAAACCTGCTGATAGCATTATGGGGGGGTTCCTTTGTAAGTGACAAGCTTCTTTTATCTACCTGCTTGTGAGATTCTTTGTCTTTGATTTTTTGACAGCTTTTATTTTATTATTTTTTTAAACTTTATTTTTGTTTGTTTTGAGAGAGAGATAGAGAGCAAGCAGGGGAGGGGCAGAGGGAGAGCAGACAAAATCATTCCAAGCGGGCTCTGGGCTGGCAGTGCAGAGCCTGATGTGAGGCTTGAACTCATGAACCGTGTGATCATGACCTGGGCCAAATTCAAGAGTCAGAGGCTTAAACGACTGAGCCACCTTCTGACAGCTTTTATAATGTGTCTTGGAGAATATGTTTCTGAGTTCAATTAGGGGACCTATGAGCTTCATGAACATGGATGGCCAAATCTCTCCCCAGATGTGAAGCTTTTCAGCCATTATTATTTTTTTAGATCTGGAATGTCATGAATTTGCGTGCTAATCTTTCCCGTATCTGTCCGTATATCGTTTCAGTATATGTGCTGATGAAGCAAACATATAGCCATTATTTTTTTAAAATAAATTTTCTGCCCCCTTCTCCCTCTCTTCTTGAACTCCAGTAATTCTCAAATTAGCTTGTTCAATGGTATCCCATAGATCACAAAAGCTTTCTTCTCTCTTTTTGATTCTTTTCTCTTTGTTTTCTCTGAATGGATGATTTAAGGGGTTTTATTTTTCTTTGTTCTCTCTGAAAAGATCATTGAAAAGGTTTGTCTTAGGAAAAAAAAAAGTTTGTCTTCAGTTTCAGATTCTTTCTTCTGCTTGATCCATTTTGATTTTCACTCTCTATTGCATTTGTCATTTCATTTATTGTATCCTTGACCTCAGAATGTTTTTTTTTTATGATTTCTATCTTTTTTGAAAACTTCTCATTTTATTTGCACATTGTTTTCCTGATTTCATTGAATTGCCTTTGTGTGTTTTCTTGTAGCTAATTTTAAATTCTTGGTTGGATAAATTGCAGATCTCTGTGTCTCTGGGGTTGGTTAATGGAAGATTATTGTAATCCCTTTGTGATGTTATGTTTCTATGACTTTCCATGTTCCAAGACTCTTCATGTTCCATGAAGTCCTGTATTGTTGTCTTTGCATTTAAAGTAGCAGTCACCTCCTCCATTCTTTGCTGAATAACTTTGGAACAGAATCATCTTCCCTCAGCTCTACTAGAGATTCTGGGGCTTTCTCAGATTTTCTGTGGCTACACAATACTCCACACTTCTTGCTCCCTCTTGTGGCAGATTCTTGTTGTATGTTTGTTTCAAGTTTTTATTTAAATTCTAGGTAGTTAACATATAGTGTAATATTAGTTTCAGGAGTAGAATTTAGAGATTCATCACTTACATATAACACCCAGTGCTCATCACAGTGAGTGCCTTTCTTAATACCCACCATGCATTTAGCCCAACTCCCCAACCCCTCCCCTCTAGCAACGCTCAATTTGTTCTCTAGAATTAGAAGTCTGTTTTATGGTTTGCCTCTCTTTCTCTCTTTTCCCCTCCATGCATCTGTTTTGTTTCTTAAATTTTGTGGCAGACACTTAAGCTTGTATGTTTTCTTTTGATCCTGGGGCACACCAGGCCAATTGCTGACAGACTCCCTTTTACCTTCTCAAAGTCAATGCTAAATGTTCAAGTTTTTGGTCTCTCCCTGCCTCATAGATACATCCAGCTTTCTGTGCATGCTCACTAGTTGTCTGCCAAAGCTCACTCTTGCTACTGTCAGGGGCACATACAAAGAGCTGCCCATGGGGTGGAAGTGTGGGTGGGTGCAGCCCACAGAGTCCTATGGATGCCCATGGGCTCATTAAGGGGATTGACAGGTGAGGCATCTCAGCAGCTGTGAGGTGGGCCTCCCGATGGAGTCCATAATGCACTTAGTAGGATCTATGTTCCTTTGACATGTTCCAAGCCTTCCCTGTTGTTTCCCTAGCTGCTTACCACCCCCAGTCATGCAATCCAATGATGCAGTACCCTGGATGGGATGAGAGAAATAGGTGCCTCTGGCAGCATCCCATACAGCTGGGGAAGCCAGGCACTCACTCACATGTTCTCACTTTTCTCCACAAGAGAAATCATAGGCTGAGAAGGGTTCTCCTGGCACTAGCTGTGCCACCTTGGAAGACAGGTGACATGAATAAAGTCAAGCTGTTCCTCTTACCCTCTTCAACGTGTTCAACCTCTGATTTTCTTACTCCAACAGTGTGCTGGAAGTTCTCTGCTGGAATCCTGGACTTCCACAAAGTCTTTCTTGTCTGTTGGTGATTGTCTAAGTCAGTGTTCGGGAGGGCTACTAGACTGCAGGCAAGAGGGACAGGGGCCAGTGCATGGGCCACTTTCGTGTTCATAGCCAGGACCAAGGTCTATTTGCTTATTATACAACACGTAGGTGGGTAAGACTTCTCCTGGGTCCCTTGGCTTACGGTGCTGGCTCCTGCAAAAACACTTTTTCTGTGGATGGATGCCAAATTGTTGTTAGGGGGATACAAGTGACTCCCTTACTTTTTAAACACAGTGTTTCATTGATTTCTACCTTCCAGTGTCATTCTGGGAGGCCTGATGCTGTAGTATTTCCTTACCATCTGCATGTAGCCTGCTTCTTTCCCCCACTCCCAACACTTGATGCTTTCAGGATCTTCTCTTCACTCTCAGTCCTCTAAAATTTCATAATGTGAAAATATGTTGCACCATCTACCCATTTACTGAGCTTCCCTCCCATTTGCTCGCTGAACCATTTCAGTCTAGAAACTCGTGCCATCAGTTCTGAGAAACTTCTTTATATTATTTCTTTTCCTGGAATTGTTACTATCTTGGTCCTCCTTGAGTGGATAGTACCATTTTCTTATGTTTTCCTTTTCTCTTTTTTGCTAGTTGTGTTATTTTTTCGAAAATGTCTTTAGCTTTGTGTTTCAAATCTTCACTGAAATTTTTATTTACAACATCATATTTTAATTTCTTCAACTTACTTTTTTATTTCTAAAGAGTTCTTTATCAGTAGTCTGTCTTTATTCCCTCTTTTTCATCTCTCTGAGTCCAGTAATTAGACGTTTTCTTCAGTTTCCTGTGAATTTTCTGTTTCCTTAGTGCTTCTTTTGTTTTTTTTTTTTTTTTCCTGTTTTACTCTCTGTCTTTCATGTTAGAATTTTCCCACACATCTTTGGTTATCTTTGACTTTCCATTTCTAATATGACTGAGACACTAAAAACCTAATTGGAAGTTTATGTGTATGGATAGAATGGGGTTTGAGAAGTACTTGTCAAATTGTGGGCTTTGGGTGGTAAGGCCCCTGCCTTACCTTGCTGCTGGAAATCCCTGTCTATACATCTCAGTATTTTCCTCTTGTGTTCAGCACACTCTCCAGAGAGAAATCCTGCAATACCCAGCCTCATAAACACTCAGCCAGGGAAAGAGCTTTAGTATCTTACGGTTTACTGTGTAGACTTTTATTTAATCTCTCCTTTCAGTACAGAATCCCCACCTTCAGTTAATATCACTGAATACAAAATACAGAAAAGCTCCGAGTTTACCCTAGAAAATAAATCTCAGCTTGTAGCCTGGTGTAGAGAAGTTGATAACAGGCAGTGGGGTATGGGAGAAAAATTAGGGATATCACTGATTCTTATACAGACTTTGCACCAATCCTTGTATTTCCAGTGCCACTGGCATCTAACTTTCAGGGATTCCTGTTAGTTGTATTCTCTAATTTTTCTCTTTTCTTTTTCACTCATTTTTCTGCAATACATCCTTAAATAACCTCCTTGGAGTGTGTACTTATGAGATAAAAGTTCTGAATCTTGATGTATGTGAAAATGTATTTATTTTGCTCTGATCTTTAGTTGATAGTTTAGCTGGAAATATAATTCTAGGTTTAAAAATCCTGTTGTCCCTTGTTAAATTCGAGAAAGCATCACTCTTATCTTCTAGTATTCAATATTACTGGTTGGAAATCTGATACTAGTCAAAAAACTTTGTTACCTATTTCTTACTTGCTTGGTGCTTTCATTATTTTCTCATTAACTTTCTCAGAACTTGCTGTTCTGAAATTTTACACTATTTTTACTTATATTATATTATTTATATACAATTCATATACTATTAGTATATATAGTACAGTGTGCTATTATATATATTTATATACTATTATTAATATTAGTTAATACATAGTATTATTTGCATACTATTGAACATTACAAATTTCAACCCAGAAGTAATCTGTCCTATAATGTTCTTAACAGAAGCCTGGTTTTATTCAGATACTACCCTTCTTCCACACAGCCTTACCATTCAAGTAAACTTGACTCATTTCCACTTTCAGAGTGATCTTTAATTAATTCTAATCTTGCAACTGTGATCTCATTCCCTTTATTTGTGACTGTTTTAGGAATGGACAAGGAACCCAATTCTGGACAAAGGGAGAGTTTGTGGAGGCTTTTGGGTGAGTCTTTTATTGTTTTTAGGAGAGAAGTATGGGGAACCTGTTTGTCTCTCTCCTCCTGAAAATAGACAAGGAAGAATACTGCATCCCTTGTTTCTGTCATCCATTTTTTGGACAATGAGAAAAGCCATCTCTCAAACTGAGCTAACCCACAGGGCAGTGGATAACAAAGAGAACAGCATTCAAATAAAGCTGAACCCGCGGGGCGCCTGGGTGGCGCAGTCGGTTGAGCGTCCGACTTCAGCCAGGTCACGATCTCGCGGTCCGTGAGTTCGAGCCCCGCGTCGGGCTCTGGGCTGATGGCTCAGAGCCTGGAGCCTGTTTCCGATTCTGTGTCTCCCTCTCTCTCTGCCCCTCCCCCGTTCATGCTCTGTCTCTCTCTGTCCCAAAAATAAATAAACGTTGAAAAACAAACAAACAAATAAAGCTGAACCCTGATCATAGTAGGCTTGGCAACTGCTTTGCTTTTACACGTCCTGTCAGAGGAGCCAATAATATTTCTTATTGTTTAAGACAGTTGGTACTGGTTTTCCATTACTCAAAGCTGAAAGTGCCATAACTGATCTAAGTTGTAGAAAGTATTTTGTCTTTTATTCTGGAGTCACATGGGCTGAAGAAGAGTGGAGACTATGGATGGGGAATAGGATTGGCATCCTGTGGTATAGTTTAGTATTCAGACTTTCAGTTTAGCCAACAGCATCACTTCTACCCTCTTTGCACTGAGCAGTTCTAATTCCTGCACTTCTTAAGATGTGTCATATACATAGCATATTATTACCATGCTATCTGGAGACAGAGGACTTGCATTCAAATTTTGCTTCTATCACTTCTTAGCTAGGTAAGCTTTTGCATGTTATTAAACATCTGTGAGCTTTAGTTTTTTTTTGTTCAAAATGGAAATATAATGTATCTACTGCAGAGAGTAATTGTATTAAATGAGTTATTGTATGAAAAGCTTTTGGCACGTAGAAAGTGCTGTGTCACCGTTAGCTATTAGCAGAATACTCCAGATCATTTTTCCTCTTCTTTCTTAGCAACGGAATCCTAATCTTGTTCAAGATGTTCAGTTAGAAGTACTGATTTTCTGAAATTACCTTACAGCTAGATTTGGTTGTGTAGTGCAGTTCAGACCAATAAAATGCAAGCAGAATTATACTGGATGTGGCTAAATAACCTGAAATGGTTTTGCTTAAAAGCCAGAATGCATCTTTTTTTTTTTCTTGGCCCACTCCCTTGCTCATATCTGGAACAGGACATGATGCGTGGATATAGAAGAGCCATCTTGTAATCATAAGAACAAAATCTACACGGTTTGGAACACAGTTGGAAAAGAATCAATACTGATGAGTTCCTTAGCAGTACATCAGCCCTAAACTGACTCTGGAATCCTTACTCTGCAAGGAGGAAAAACACCTGTTTTGTTAAGCACCATATTTAGGTCTGTTACATACAGCCAAAAGCAGTGCTGATAAGGGACCCTCTGGGCAAGGTGGTGCTCTCTTTTTGCCTTTTGAGACCTTGGTTTTAAGGAGGTTATTTTCTTAGTATGCTTTATAATTCAACATATTTCTATCCTCATTTGACTTTGTAGAAGCTGTTTCATTATAAGCCAGTAATTTCAAGGACTTCTTCCCATCCTCCTTACCTTTAAGCTTTATTCCTTTTCTATCTCTATATTTTCTTCTCTGGAGAAAAGGGAAATGACAGTAATACCTATCTTGGGACTATGAACTTTAATTCTTTCAGGTGCTATGGGTAATGTAAAATATAACAACAATAACAACAACAGAGTATCCAGATGTAAGATACAGTTGAGGACTATGGAGACATGGAGAGTATATGTCCCTGCCAAAAGTGTTTAAACTACAAATAAAACAGATATTGTACCACTCAAAGAATATAGACCTGTAGGCCCAATGTGACTATAGGCTGCAATTCTGCAAATTCTTATTTTAAGACATAGTAGATGTGAAAGAATTCTCATACTCCTCACCGAAACACTAATATCAGTAATAACAAAACAGTGTACAATTAAGACCTTTTAACTGGAAGTGTATTTAGCTAAAATAGTTCCACTTATTTTCTTCTAAACTGTTTTCCCTGTTTTTGTTTTTGGCTGATACAGAAGAGAATGTAGTAACTCTAATATTATACTCAACAGACAAAGAAACAGACAAAAATCTTCTCTGTGGAGGTTGCTATGGCTTTGGAAGAAAACCACCTGCAAAGAAAAATGTAAGATAGGAAAAGATACATTTCCCACTCCCATCCTTCCTCAGTTTCTTCCTCTCCCTGCCTTAATATATACGTTGAGGAGTTGCATTATAATAATGGCTCATAATACACCTTAAAACATGAATTAATAAAGCAGTTGTCACTGCTGATACCCAGTTCCTGCACATAAACCACCTGTGTGTCCCTGTGTTCCATTCAGATGCAGTCTTACTTGGTCTACTAGAGACCAAGCCTATGCTCTTCCCATTTCCTACAGAGACAAATGGATTTCAGGGGCAGGAATGGCTAGTTCCTGTCGCCCTGTTGCTCAGTTACTTGGTCCTACACACTTACATCTGCACAGATAAAAGTATTACCAGCAAGGAAACTAAGGTTCAGAATGGAACATTATACTTCTTAAGCTCACAGAGTACTGGAGAAGGTGGAATTCTAACCATGCATTGCCTAGGAAAACTGATGGAGTTTTCCTTATGCCATTAAAGCTTCCCTAATAGTGGACAATTAAAATATCTGGACACTTACACAATGGAACAGTGAACTGGACTGATAATCAGGCAACCAGGAGTCTAGTTTAGCCTCATCAACTTGGAGAGCTTTATTCATCACTAGCCTCATTGTTCACAGTGGTAATCATTTTTTTCCAAATTCTAACTTGGATACCTCTGTCATTGGAATGCTCATTTTAAGTACCATGTTTTAGACTGAGAATCTCTAAAAACGGTAGGAATTTTGTCTAAATATGTGATTTGTGTAGTACTTACCTACATAGACCGACCTTGAAATTGTTCTTGATAATGCTGACAATTTGTCAAATTTTAAACATATTTTCCTTATTTCCTTTTTGTCTCTATTTTAATATGTTCTGGAACTCTATACAGGAAAGACCCATGCAGTCGTGTCTTTGGAACAAGGTTCATTGAATGCTCCAGTCCAGATGTCTGTATAAAGAGAATGAGAACTTTTATCATGTCTTTGGCACTTGTGGGAAATAGAGCCCTAGTTTAATGTAGTACAGAGTATAGCTTTAGGATTTTCATAAGATAGATGTTTATTAGAATATTTGGCAGAAGGAGGTTTGGAAATATTTAGGGTCAGTAGAAAATGCAGTCCATGACTACAGACTAGGTGGTTTTTATACATGCGGCTACAGAATTTCATTTAAGGATTCCCTTGCTAATTTGAAATCTGAATTGCCAAAGACCAACATAGATATGACCAATAATAATTTGTGTTTCAACTATTTTCTAAAACCAGTTTTTGACTTAACTTTTAAGCTTCCTTTTCCTGTAAAAAAGCTCCTCTGTCACATTGCCGCACAACATCCTGTTAACCTATTTTCCTGAGCTGGCAGGAAATTGTCCACTACTGATGTCTGTAATGGTGAAATACTTCTTACTGATCTCATCCTCTTTGATCAGAACTTAACCTCATCAACATGAACTACTTAGATGAGACTATCAGGAAATATTGAGTAGGTTCCTATTTGTTTAAAGGATGAGGCAAAAATTTCCGTTCCAATGAAACATAACAAAACTCAGACTTTCGTATTTAAGATACACTGCAGTGTTTACATTCTCACCTTCTCTCATCAATCATCAATCATCAATCAGTAAATACATGTATATTGTGTGTCTGCTGTGTACCTAGCCATTCTTCTCAGGACTAGCTTTGTTGCTCGGAAAACTAGCCAAAAAATAGATCTGGTTACAGTTTATTTGTTGTCTTACCACAATGGATGAAATGCTACAAAATAGCAAATTAAATTAAAAACAAATAACTTTATGAGGGCCAATCATTTATGCCCTAGTGTTAATCATTACAGTTACAATTTTACATTTCCATGAACTGGAAACACTGAAAGGAGTAAAAAGTAAGGAAAGGGAAATTAATTTTGGATTTTCAACATTAAGAAGGCAGTGCTAGTCGAGCTACAAGTAGGATTTCTGTGTACAAATCACTCATTAATTGATTCGCTCATTCATGTATTCAGTCAAGTATACTTCCTCAGTATTTGTAATGTGTCATTCTCTTTTAAAGGCTGGAGATAGAAAGACAAGTTGCAGCCAGAAAAAAAATGACAGTATTTAGTAACTGTATTCCGGGGAAGGGAGATGATCATAAGATGAGAAGAACAAAATACTGAGCAAAAGGGAGGTTGTGCTAAATGTTGACTATTCAGACGTTTGGCCCCAGGCCAACCCTGCTTTCCTTCATGATGACACTTTAGTCAGAGTAAACAAAAGCGAGCATATAGTTTTGAGCAAAAACAAACTCCTATCTTTCAACCTTTTACTGACTACTATTATTTCTGTGCGTGAGTACTTCTGTAGATTCAATAAAACAATCTGACTGCAATAAGTTTGTTTGGCAATATCTTTGACCTAAACCATACATTATTTGTTCTTTAGTGTAGCTATGGGTTTATGGTTTGCTACATTTTAAATGACATGGAAGTGTCACCTTACTCAAGAAAATAACAATATAAAATATCAATACACAGAAAATGATGAAGATATTGATTTTAATTAAATGAATGCCTCAATGATTTTTTCTCATTCTCATTCTTTTCATATTTATTTAAGCATACTAAGGTTTCATTTTCAACAAAGTGAAACAATTTTGCAATAGAAGACTTTAGATGATACCATAGTTTTTATATGGCTATAACACAGAAAGTAATCTTTAGGACAACCTTTTTTTAAAACTTATTTTAGAGAGAGAGTGAGAGCATTGGGGGGGGAGGGGAGAGGGCCAGGGGGAGAGAGAATCTTAAGCAGGCTTCACTCTCAGCAAGGAGCCAACCAGGGGTTCTATCTGACTGAGTCACACAGGCACCCCAAAACAATACTTTGTAAAGTTATAGTCTGTTCACCTCATTTTTCTTTTTCTGTCATGGCTAATTATTTATTACAATACAAAGAAGACAAAAGTATATCTTAAACTCAAGAAATAGGAAGTAAGAAAAAGATTTCTTATTTTTTTTAACATTTATTCATTTGTGGGAGACAGAGAGAGACAGAGCACGAGTGGGGGAGGGGCAGAGAGAGAGGGAGACACAGAATCCAAAGCAGGTTCCAGGCTCTGAGCTGTCAGCACAGAGCCCGACGCGGGGCTCGAACTCACTAACTGTGAGATCATGACCTGAGCTGAAGTCAGACGCTCAACCAACTAAGCCACCAGACACCCTAAAGAAAGATTTCTTGAGATCACTGCAATACAACAGTTTGCCATAATTATGCCCAGTAAAGGGTAAAGAATACATATTTGATTTCTGATATAAATATCTAGATCTTGTTCATGAAGAAACTGATGAGAACCATTAGCCACTATGTAAATATGTAACTTAAGAAATACTTCAGTGGAAATATTACTTATTAATGGCTTATTAAGTGTTATGGGTTGAACTGTGTCTCCTTCAAATTCATATTTTGAAATCCTAACCTTCAATATTTCAGAATGTGACCTTATTTGGAGATAGGATCTTCATGGAGGTAATCAAGCTAAAATGAGGTCATTAGGATTGGCAATAATCCAATATGCCTGGTGCCCTTTTAAAAAGGGGAAATTTGAAGACAGAGAAGGACACAGGAGAACACCATGGGAGGATGAAGACAGAGACAGGAGTGATGCTCTTTCAAGGCAAATAATGCCAGCGATGTCCAGCAAAATACTAGAAGCTGGCAAAGAGACATGGAAGAGATTCATCCTCACAGTCCTTAGAAGGAACCAATTCTACTGACGTCTTGACCTTGGATGTCTGCCCTCTAGAACTGTGAAACAATAAATTTCTATTGTTGAAGCCATCCAGTTTGTGGTACTTTGTTATGGCAGCCCTAGCAAACTAATTAACTGAATCTCTGGTGTAATACTGCCCTCGGTACTGCTTTGTTTATTGCTAACCAAGCGGCTTCTGTTTCATTGTGTAACTCTCTGTGACCAGTAATATTAGCACTAACAACACAAACAGTTACAGCTAGTTTTCTGAGCACTTCCCATATTCCAAGCTCTGTTTTGATCCTTTCTGACCAGCTGAGATGAATGGGGAATAAAGGATTTTCATGTGGAAAGAATAATTTTGTTACTTTATTAAGCACTAATGATTAATACTAAGTTTTATGAAGCCATTGAGGGTTTGGGGATGGATTTCAAAGAGCTTGTTACTTACCCTAATATAGAAATTTTATCTTGAAGTGGGGTGCTGCCTCAACAAAATCTGAAAGTGTGAAGCCTGAGGATAATGGCATGTAATGAGGAAACCGATACTTAAAGGCTGGGAAAATGGTGAAATCTTTGCTAAAAATCATTGCCTAAATCTTTGCTAAAAATCATTGCCTAGTCTACTTTAGGAAGAAGACAACATGTCTACTAATCATTTCTAGTTAGATGTTGAAGTGCCTGGCAGTCCTACTGTGTGTTGTCTATTATTAGACATTCAGCATCTTTCAAGGTTGGAAACCCCAGCTTCTTGTAAAAATTGAACTACAAAGACTTTGAGTGACAACACACAGTAAGAAAAACTTTCCAGCTGAATAAAGTAACTCAGGACCAAGGTCAGAGTAGGGTATGGCTTCACTTCAATTGTTCCAAGAACCCAATGGTAGTCACAATTAAGTCGAGAGGGAAAGAGGCACGAGGATGAGGAAGCAGCCATGTACAATAAATTTGAGCATTATTTTTAGGAAATAACTTTGGGTATGGTAACTGGCTATATTAAGCTGGCTGAAGCAAATAAACCGGAAGTCTACACAGTTTTTGAGGGAATTGTATTGTCCAGGAAACCACAAAGACACTCATGAAAAAAAGTCTTTATTTTTCGATTCAAATGCTGACATCAATTCTTATACTCCCACATACAGAAAGCAGCCTTGGAATGCCTCTCCCAAGGAAGGCATGCCCTCCAAAACTCTTTATAAATGTGGCTAAGAAAAATAATGACAAAGAAGTGGTTCCAGCAGGTTATCACCAGGGACCACAGAGAATAAGTGGCAAAATAATTCCTCTCAAAGAGTAGAATCAAGGCCTAGTCTAACAATCTACCCCTCTCTACTTCACCTCTACATCTAATGTGAGACTTTCCCAGTTTCTGTGCGGTGGCATTACTGAATCACTAAAGAATATTGATGATCCTGTATTTATTGTTCTTCCTCTTCCCAGTTCTTGGTAGTCATTGTAGATGCCTTATATGTGGATGTGAGGTAGGGGTACAGATAAGCTATCTTGTTCTTGTGTCACCTAACCATGAGGAGCCACCTGTAGATCTGATAGAGAAAACAGAGAACCTGGATTCTGAGATGGATGCAGTGAATAAAGGAGCACTGGATTATCTTCTTTGGGGAGGGAGGGAACAGATGTGAGTTTCTTTGATACATGAGATGAACAATAAGACATTTTGTTGACCAGAATTTGGACTGTGGTTAAGACGATGTTATGTGTTGAACACACTGTTTTCTCTTCCTGGGCACATGCTTTTGCTATTCTCGCATAAAAATATATTGGGAGCCATATGACTTATTTAGGTCGATAGAATGTATGCAGAAATAATGTCAGACATTTTTATACTCAGCCCTTAAAACAATACTGTACAATTTTCTATTTCCGTATTTCCCTTCAATGTTAACCTTGTATGCTTTTTCAGATACACTAAAAGACAGAAGCATCTTTGGTCCCTGAGTCACCATTTGGAGGGGAGGTGGTCAGGAGACCTGCCTAGATCTGCATCAGAATGTGGCCTGACTGAAAAATAAATGAATTCCAAGGTCTGTTTGTTATTATCACATAGCCAAATCTATACAGCCTGAAACAGATACCGTAAGGACATTGCAGCCGAGGCCAAGCCAGGTTCTATTCAAGTTTGCAACTGGTGAAAGTCTAGAGAAATATAATACAAAATGTAGCTAGGCTTTGCACCCTGATTTGAAAATCCAGCAAGGGCACTATGTTCCAAATTACTCTGGGTCATAACTGTTCTAGTGTGCAGTTTCTCTGCTCACCAGAATTACGTTTTCCTTAAAGACTAGACAGAAGGATGCTATAATGCCTATAGAAATCACTAGATTTTTTAAAAGATACTTCATAGTGTGGCCAGAAGAGTTTTATATTTCACACTTAGACCTACCTGATGTATCTCCAAGCATCAGTTTTTCCAGTTTCCATGAGTTCTTCTCTATATCCTCATACATAGGGAGCAGGCATGCTGGTTGCCCTTTTCTTTCCCTAGATTCTGGAATAGAGGTTTAGATACAGATATCAAAAAGACAATACAGTTAAAGAAAGTCATCAATTCCTACTCCTGATGCCTCTCATTTGGTGTCCTTTTGCTTACTCTCCCATAGCATTCTCTAGAAGGGGCTAAAAATTATGCCAACGTTAGACCTGGTGACCAATCTAGCATTTGGCAAATAGTTGACTCTCTCTACTCTTCTTATTCTCCAGTGGTTCTAGACCAGACATGATGTGCTCATTTTTCTTTTATCATATTTCCCTTTATTTTTCAAAACTGATATATGAAATTCTTTGTATGCAATGAGAGGAAATCTTTTGTTTTCTCATATGTACTACATTTTTCTCATCTGACTTTTTCCTTCTGATTTTGTCCGTGTTTATATTTTGGTTTTTCTTTGTGTTTTTGTATGAAGGTCTTCTCTCTTCCTTGATTATAAAAACATTTACTTATTATCCATTTAACTAATTTTATTTCCTCGATTTTTATAAATTTAAATCTTTGATCCATCTGGGCTTAATTTTTCTACAAAACATGCAATGGAATCACTTTTTCTTAAGTTTATTTATTTTGAGAGAGAGAGAGAGAGAGAGAGAGTGAGTGCATAAGTTGGGGAGAGGCAGAGAGAGAGAATCCCAAGCAGGCTCCGTGCTATCAGCTTAGAGCCCAGCACGGGGCTGGATCTCATGAATCATGAGATCATGACTTGAGCCGCGATCGAGTCAGATGCTCAACCAACTGAGACACCCCGGCACCCCAGAATTCTAATTTTTCTCAAATGGCTAAGTGGTAGTTCCAACAATGTGTTTTGAATGATACAGTTTTGTCTGTTACCCTGTCAATTTATTATTCCCCTACTAAACTCCCATTTGTACTTGTTACTGTTTCTGGAGTCTCAGTTATTTTCATCCTTTATTTAAAAATATATGCTCACGTACCTTTAATTTTTTTCCCTGGTTTTCCTCTTACTTGAGTTAATTATTCTTTATTCTTTATTCTTTATTTTGCTGATGTTTATTCATTTTTATGTTTCTCCTAGAAGGTCACGTCTAATTCAGTAATTTCAAATAATATTTCTTTAGAAAGGACTCCAAAATTAAAATTCCTGGTCTGGGCTCTCTCTAAAGTACCAGAAGAGTAACCTACTCTGTGTATCTCTCTCTTTATCCTATGATCATCTCAAACTTAGTATATCTAAAATAGGAGCTCATCATTCCTACCCTCTCTCTCTTCTGCAGCCTGAATCTGCTTTTTGTTTCACCTTTCTTACTTTCCTCAAAAGCAACACTGTACCTCTTATTGCTCAAAATGGGAAATTCAGATTCATATATTCTGATTAATAAATAAAGTATTTTGTACCCCCCCATTTCATAATTTCCTTGGCAATTCAAGCTAAGAAACATTTCTCAAATATTCTACCCCATCCATTAATTCAGGACTTGCCTCTTATTTAGACCAAGTCAAAAGCCTCTGTAGTAGTTTCTCTTTCTTCAATATCTGCACTTTGCCCTACTCATCCTTTAGACGGTTTCCAGAGATATAATTTAAATCATAAATCTGATCATTGCACTCTCCTGCTTAAAAGCACTTTGTGTCTTTACAATACCAAATTCCTTAGCATTTTAACATTCTTCACCGTTATCTTCACTCTGTCTAGTCCCGTCTTGCACTACAAACCTTGTGTTACAGCTATTTGGGTTGCTTCCTACACACCAAACGTGCAGTTCGTGTTCAAACCACCTTTCACATTTACAAACAATTGCCTTCAATCCACTTTTTCTTCTTTGTCTTCTTAACATGTACCTATGTATCTGTCATGGCCTAATTGCTAGTTTTCTTTTACCTTCCCACATATTCTATTTTTTGTCCTTATTCACTTTGTCCTTATTCACAATACCATCTAGTACAAAATATTAAAGTTACTTATTTGAATGGCTGCCCTTGAGGAGAATTCCTTTCTTATTCATATTCTTATCCACTGCACCTAGCAAAGTACATACCATATAGTATGTATTCGAAAATTGTCAAATTGAATTCAAATTTCTAGTAACATTTGACGATATTTTTAATGTAAAAGCATACATTCTATTTACCCCCTCCCAAATGGTATTCATTCTGGTGAATTATTCTTCTTTATTGATTATAGTTTTGGTGGGGGGAGTAATTCTAGGTCCCTCTCTGCTGTGACTTGAGATTATGGGTCCACTTTCTTCTCTGTGCCTTTTGGAACAGCCAGGGAAGGGTGTGTGCATAATACAAGGACCAGAGTGAATGATACAAGGAATAGAATGAATTATACAGTGACTGAGGAACTACCTGGAGGTCACTCTTTTCCTCACCACCAACAGCGTTCTAACTAGAATGTGAGAAGGAACTTGATTGCTTCTTATTCTTGAGCTTGTTTTATATAAAATGTCAGCTTTTTAATGAAGTCTACCTTAATCAATTCATTTGAAATTGTAATCTCCACAAAGTCCTGATCCCCATACTTTATATAACCTCTAAAAAATTTACACAGTATTTATTATCTTCTAACATAGTACATCATTTATTTGTTAATAATTTATCCACTTCAGACTTTTTGTGTTTACTATTTGCATGGTATATCTTTTTTCCCATTCATTTACTTTCAATCTGTGTCTTTTTTTTAATTTATTTTTTTAATGTCTATTTATTTCTTGAGAGAGAGACGAGTGTGAGTGGGGGAAAGGCACAGAGAGAGGGAGACACAGAATCCAAAGCAGGCTCCAGGCTCCAAGCTGTCAGCACAGAGAGTGACGCGGGGCCTGAACTCACAAACTGTGAGATCATGGCCTGAGCCGAAGTCGGACACTTAACCAACTGAGCCACCCATATGCTCCTGTCTGTGTCTTTATGTACAAAGTAGCTGGAACATACTTTTTCTCTATTCTGACAACTTCCACTTTTTATGGAAAGTTTATATCATTAACATGTAATACAATTATTGACGTGGTTGGATTTGGGTCTACCATTTTATTGTCTTCTTTGTCTCCTCTTTTTTTTTTTCTCCTGTGATTATTTATGACTTAGAAAATTTTTAATATTTTTTATTTTAATTCATCCATTGGCTTTTTAGTTATGCCTCTTCACATATTTTTAAGTTTAAGTAAACTTCAAAACAAAGTATACATACTTATTTATTCACAGTCTATTTGGAATTGATATTGTGCTAGCTCACATAAAATATATATAGGCATATGTACTAGAATCATACAGGTTCATTAACCCTCCAAATCCTTTATGTTATAATTATCACATATATTACATTAAAATACACTATAACACCTACAAGAAAATGCTATAATTTTTGCTTTAATCAGTACTATATACTTCAAAGAAACTAAATGGAAAATAATGGTTTTTGTGTGTATCCAAATACTTACCATTTTTTATTCTCTTCTTTCCATCCTGAACATACAAGCTTTCATTGGGTATCATTTTCTTCATACTGAACAAGTTCCTTTAGCACTTCTTGTAATGCAGATGGGCTAGTGACAAATTTTTGTAGTGTTATTTGCAAACATTCTTCTTTTCTTCTTCATTCTAAAAAAAATTGTGCCCACTGGATATAGAATTCTAGATTGATCATGTTTTTATATTAAAAAATTTAAGATATTGTTCCAATGCTTTATGATCTTCATATTTTTCAATGAGAAGTCAGAAATCATTCAAATTGTTGTTCCCCTCTATGTAATGTGTTCTCTTGCTACTTTCAAGATTTTCTCTTTATTGTTGGTTTTCAGAATGATTTTTTTAATTTTGGTACTGCTTTAGGTTCACTGAGCTTCCCGAGTCTATAAATGTATTGCTTTCATCAAATTTGGGGAGATTTTTTTTTTAATTTTTTTTTCAACGTTTATTTATTTTTGGGACAGAGAGAGACAGAGCATGAACGGGAGAGGGGCAGAGAGAGAGTGAGACACAGAATCGGAAACAGGCTCCAGGCTC